CCCCAAAACCCCAAAACCCCAAAACCCCAAAACCCCAACATAGCAATTTACTATAGAAAATAAATTATCAAAATGTCGATAGTACGGTATTTAAGAAATTTTTTGTTACATCAACCTCCACTTTTGGCCTGATCTTAATCCATTTAGCAACAGCAGCTACAGAGAATAATTCAAGAACGGGTGAGAGCTTGGAAGGAAGAATATATTGATCCTATTTTTCTAAAAGATGAGTTCCAAGGAAATTCTAAACTTCAAAACTTGTATTATAAGGAAAGAATTCAATTTATTAGAAGAAACATCAGGCCCTTGCTAAGAGTCATGATGTTTTGAACATTTATGGTGTCTTATTTAGCAGTTATGAGCGATAATATATCTGATAATGATTATAAGCTAAGTACTCTAAGAATTCTTTTGAGCCTATTTTTCATCATTGCACAAGTATTATTCAGACAATGCATCGAAAGGTATGACAGGTTTGCAAGTTATTCTGGATGCTTAATGGCAATACTAACCACAGCATATGTTACTGAGGTTACTTGAGCACTTTCAGAGTATAGGTAAGAATTGTGTTTATTACCTCATTCAAAATTTCTTATAATATCTTTGATTACAAAGAGGACAAAAAGTTGAGTAAATTGTTATCCCATATCGAGCATTAATGAAGATATTATTGCTGCGTTCAATTTTCCTATTCTCTCAGCTTGAAATATTTAGTTCTTATTAGGTAATATTTTGGAAACTTTTTGATCACTTCACCGTTATTACTAAAATCATAAATTTATTAACAATTTATTCACTAAGTTTTAAAAATTAGAATCAATAGACTCGACAAAAAGTGTAGGCTTCATTATTTGTATGCCCATATGCCAAATTTCTTAACTAGAGAGACCCTTAGAGATACTTACTTCTTGATCCTTAGCTTCTATTGATTTATAGAGTATTTATTTCAATTAGTGGATAAACCTTCATTTGTAATTTTCTGACCATTTTCACTAATAAAATTTGGGGTTAGGAATAATACTAATGAATTTAGGCTATATGAAGGATTCATTCCTCAGATATCCATATCATTTTTCTACGGGAGCTTCTCTACAGCAAATTGGAGAGCTCCTTGCATTACACAAGGGATAATGTACTTTTATGCGTACATTAGGATTACAGCATCTCACACTGAAGCCCCTCCTGAATTGAGAATCTCTTTGATCAACACAATGATTTTCTATTGAATTGGAGCTTATTTAAGTTCCCAGCATTTGAAGAGGGAATTCCTCTCCAAATGAAAGCAAGAGAAATTAACGAAATTATTTCAGAGCACATGCTCAACTATGCCTGAAGGAGTGTCTATTATTGACGAAGCAGAGCCAAGACTCTGCTTCACTAATCCTAAATTTAAGGAGGTGTTCACTCTGAGATTCTGCTCTGACAGTAAAGATTATAACAAGACTATTTACAGCATTCAGAATAAGATTGATCGAGAATATGAACAGATTAAGCAAGATTTCATAATTTCTAAGGAACTGGACAAAGAGAAAATGAATTTTGAAAAATTCTTAGATAAATGGAATGTATCCATTTCTCCTTTAAATGCAGGTGAGTGTAACTTTAAGCCATTTTCTTAATCTGCTTTATAGAGCAAGGTGGAGACGAAGAAGAGAAAGATTATGATATTTTCAAACCCCCTCACTCATTAGCAAGTAGTAAGAGTTTGGTGAAGGAGAGAATCTCCCTCTCTGATTTCTTATTTCATGAGAGAAGAAATGCCCTTGAGTCACCTATGAAGATATGAGAAACCAAGATTTCTCTAGAATTCTCCGAGATGCATAGGGTTAGTAAGATCCAGCTATTGAATAAGGAGTTTATTGTCAAAACTTGTCAGCTAAATCTTGAAGAGAATAGTAGGAGAACTAGTACTAAATTTATGCATATCTTCATTGATACAACCCAGATTGCTCTTCTTGAACAGGCTAAAGCACAGAATAAATATCAGAAGATTGTTATTGCTAATGTGAGCCATGAATTTAGAACCCCACTGAATGCTATCAATATGTCTGTAGAATTGTTGAAATAGCAAGATTAGTCCTGAAGATCAACGTCTTGCTAAGATTGCATCCTCATCTTGCTCTATCCTAACCAGTTTGGTTGGAGATCTTCTTGATAGTGCTAAAATAGAAGCAGGAGTCTTTGAGATTCAGGAAGATCTATTTTATCCCTCTGAACTTTGTAAATCAGTAAAGGAAATCTTTGAGCTTCAGACTCAGAGAAGAGGTGTCGAATTGATCTTTGAAATAGATGATTTCTTGCAAGATATCCAGATTCAGACTGATATGCAGAGAATAAAACAAGTCCTACTAAACCTGCTATCAAACGCTTTCAAGTTCACTGATAGAGGGTTTATAAAAGTAAAATGGGGAGTTTACAAGCCACTTCAAGATGAAGATTTCGGTAATGAAGATGATCTGAACCCTCTATCTCGTTCAACTTCACTCAACAGGAAAGAGGAATGCAAATTCCCTGAACCAGAGCCTCTGGCTCTTCATGACATGCAGAGCTTAGACCTTAGCCGGATAAATATCTCTTCTAAATATGGTTTTGTATCTAACAACAATGACCTCTCTGAAAAGTAAGTCGATTCCAATTACTAAGTTTTGAGAATCTTAGCCTATCCTAATTTATAAGCATTATGAGCCAGACTAAAGATAGTAAAACTTCAAAATTATTAAAGATTCTAGCTATCAGATATACTGACTTCTTAATATATTTTTTAACGAGAGTCTAAACATTTCTTCATTAAATTTACCAGCAGTTAACGTATGTCAATTTCTAAATTTTGTTGATATAGCATTCAGAAGCCAAGTGAATATGACTCAATGAGAAGAGTACCGAACTCACACAGTATATTAGAGCAAGGAAATAATAAGAAAGATATCTTAAAAAAAGAGAGAGTCATGCTTTATCTATCGGTCCAGGATACTGGTATTGGAATACCTGTCCAAGACCGAGCAGGGTTATTCAAAATGTTTGGAAAAGTTAGTTCTAATCATAATCGCAATAAACTAGGCACAGGGCTAGGCCTCTCTATTTGCAAGAAAATCTTAGAGAAGCTCAACGGAGACATCTTCCTTGAATCAGAAGAAGGCAAGGGAACAACATTCTTCTCAGTATTTGAATGTGGTATTTAAAATCAAATGAATTCCATATGTTTTGATTAATAATGCCTAATCAATCTTATAGATATTCATTGGGGTTTTGGGGTTTTGGGGTTTTGGGG